GTGCTAGAGAGCAGTCCTTTGGAGAAAGACTTGGGGTTACTAATCAATGAGAAGCTGGACATGAGCCACCAGTGTGCCACGACAGCCCAGAAGGCAAATTGGCATTCTGGGCTGCATCAGAAGCAGCGTGGGCAGCAGATGGAGAGAGGTGATCCTGCCCCTCTGCTCTGCCCTGGGGAGACCTCACCTGAGTCTGTGTCCAGCTCTGGAGCTCCCAGCACAAGAAGGACGTGGAGCTGTTGGAGCATGTCCAGAGGAGAGTCACAGAAATGATCAGAGGGCTGGAGCAGCTCTGCTGTGAGGACAGGCTGAGGGAGCTGGGGTTGTTCAGCCTGGAGAAGGCTCCAGGGGGACCTTATAGAGACCTTCCAGTACCTGCAACAGGCCTGCAAGAAAGCAGGGGAGGGACTATTCACAAGGGTTTGGAGTGAAAGGATGAGGGGGAATGACTTTAAACTAGAAAAGGGCAGATTTAGGTTAGACATTAGGAAAAAGTTCTTCAATATGAGGGTGGTTGATCACTGGAAGAGGTTCCCCAGAGAGGTGGTGGAGGCCCCATCCCTGAGGCATTCAAGGTCAGGCTTGATGAGGCTCTGAGCAGCTTCACCTAGTCAGAGATGTCCCTGCTCATAGCAGGGGGGTTGGACTAGATGACTCTTGGAGGTCCCTTCCAACCAAAACATTCTGTGATATGCAGCCTCTTCAGGGAGAAAGAAGTGCAGATCACTGTAAGATTCATCAGGTATAATTAAGCTGTCCTCCACCAGAGGATACTTCTGTGTTTGTTCTAGGAGGCTTAATTAGTCTGCTTTTAACAAAGCTTTTTCAGAAGCTTTCAAGGAGGCTGTGGCAACATCTCTTTGTGCTTGTGTGCTGCATATTCTTCTTTCTCCCAGCTCTGTAGCAGGTTAGGCCAGGGTGTACATCTAAAAGCAGGGGAAGTGTTGCAGTGACTCTTCTTCTTCCACAGCAGTGAGGCTGTCACAAGCAGAGCAGGCTTCTCCGAAGCGCAAACACGACGGAGCAGAAGAGCTGTGCTCTGAAGACCTCTACAAACGAGCCAAAGTGACAGGCCTGCCTGCTGCAGAGGTCCCTGGCAAGAGTTTATGATTGTGAGTAGCCCCTGGTGTGATCTGGCCTGAGTGGCCTTGTTCTGGCACCTAGCAAAGCTCAATTTTAATTGTTCCCTGCATTTTAGTGAATAAATGAACTCGCTTCTGGAGGGAGGTGACTCCTCCCTGTAATTCTGTAGCCCTGTAGTTTGGCAGTCTCTGCCCTCTGGTTGTTTTGCTTTTGCTTAACAAGCTGTTAGCTGGGTTGTCCAGCAGAGAGTAGTGCCCTGTTGCTGGAACCCTCACACAGAACACGGTGGATTTGCTCCAGTGGGGCTGCTTCTCCTTCAACAGAGTGGGCTTGCAGAGGTGGTGAGGGCACAGGCTGGGCAGGAGGAGCAAGCAGGCTCCAGTCACCTGCCTGAAATGCTCCAGATCCCATCAGGGAAGGAGCTGGTGGCACGTTCTGCCAACTTTTCCACTACAAGAGGGGAGTTAAAAGCCAATTCTTTGTTTTGCTTTCTCCTACAGCCAGCGACAAGCACCTTGCAAGTGAAGAGAGAATGCTGAAGAGGTGACCAGAGGAGGAGGAGCTGCCAGCGAGGGACTGGGTGTGATCCCTGAGGGGAAATCTGGGGTCTCACGGGAGCGTGTGATTCCAGGAGCTGCCACCAGGGGGCACCGCGCTGCTTCTGCTTGGGAGCATTTGGCTTTCTGGCCTCCAAAGAGCCAAATATGTCTCTTCTCAGCCATGCTCAAACTCTGCCCACGTTTAAGGGGCTGAGAGCCTTCTATCGACTTGTTCACTCCCAGGTGGATCTTTCTTTTCTGGCTCAGTGCATGTGACTTGATGGTTTGATGTAGGGAGCCAGCATCTGCACCTCTCAGAAAGAGTGAACATCCTTTTCTCATCACTAGTACTAGGCAGTGAGGTGCTCTGGTTGCTTCAGATTATAGCAGGGGCTGAGAAGGAAGCTGCTACAACATGAAAAATAGAGTACCCGTGCTAGGTGTATCAAGGTAGTACTCGGGTGGGATGGCAACAAAAATGAAGGAAAACTGTAGCACAAGAACAGAGAGGTGCAGACCAAACACTCACAAGGCACCTGAAACTCTCCTGGCAGAAGAACCTCACTCCAAGCTGAGCTGTGCTGCAGTGTCCAGGAACAGGCAGCTTCAGAGCAGGTTGGCATCTCGAAGGGGGGGACTGAGAGGAGGGGGAGTTCCTCAGTCAGATCATAACCTTGATATGAGAAACATGGTGCCCCAGAAGCCCGCTGGCCCAAATAAGAAGGGAGCTACACCTGGGCCCTGCCCTCCACAGCATTTCCCTCCCTGAGCGAGGGTGCTGTGTGAGAGCAGGGGGGTGACTGGTGGGCAGCCTGTGGAGAGCCCCACGCTGGCAGGGGATGTCACACCTCAGCTCCTTGAAGGGAATCTTCCTCAGGCTCAGTCCATTGCCCGTTCTGTGTGGATGTTTGCTCCTGGCTGTGTTGCCCTCCATGTTTCACCCTGCTGCAGGCCCTGCTGCTGTCCCTCACCCCCTGCACACTGCTCCTCCTCTCTGGCTCTGTTCATGCTGGTGCTGTGTGGTGTAGCAGGACGATTGTGTAGCTCCCCTGGCTTGGACCATCCACTCCTTGGCCTGGTCCTGTTCCCTGTCATTTCACAGGGGTGCTGGCAGGGCGCCTCTGCTCACCCCCAGCTCGGGGGGGCAGGGGAGGGTGGCACTGCAGGAGAGCCTCTCCTTTGGCCCTTGGCAGGAGGGATTAATTAGTAGCTAATCCCGTGCAACGGGCTGCTCTTGGCACCGTTTTCATTCGCTGTCCAAACCCTTTCACCCCTGCCTGGCACAGGCCCTGTGGGAGCTTCTGCAGCTGGGGGAGCACAGGAGTTGTCTCTTGCTCAGATGGGGATCATCAGATTCAGTTTTGGAGTCTTGTGTCTGAACCCAGAGCAACGGGGCTGCAAGTGGAAACGGCCTCCAGTGTGTCTGGGAAACCTGAAGTAGCTGAATTGGGTCTGTGAGTTAATTTATTGAGTAGCTGAATAACCTTTCCTTCCCACTCCTCTCCCTGGGGCATCGACCTTAGATTCCTTTTCCTAAGAGAATCCATTGTGCAAACCAACCAAGGAAACAAGAGTCACTTTTCCTGCCCTTATTTTTCTTCTAAACTGCTATTGATAGTCTGGTTGGTGGGTAAACCAGGAATCCAGAGGTTTTGTCTCCTTTGGTCCCACTGTCTTGGGGGTAGAAAGCATCAAGAGAGACTCTTCTGCTGCAGAGAGAAGAGAGGGGAAAGATGCACTTTGTACACTTAGGTTACAGAAATTGTGACTTCTGTCATTTGGAGGGTTTCATGCTTAGGTAATTGTCTGTAAATATGACTTTTTTATATATATATATATAAATGTCTTTAACCCTCTCTTTGTTGTGATCCAAATTATTTCATTTGGTAAGTGGCGTTCTTGGGGCTGGATCCATGAGAGTTGGGAGCCACAATCTCCTGAGTGATCTGGACGAAGACTTTGTGTGGAGGATCTCACATCTGTGTGGGTGGTGGCACCTGGAAGAGCTGCAGTTTGGGCAGTAGAACAGAGGAACACAAAGTTAATCAAAGATAAGGGAGAAACTTCCTTCAAGAAACCTGTGCAGGAGGTTGGGCTGCAGAATTGTCACGATACGGATGCCAGTTTGTGTCTCAGAGCTAGGTGGCAATATCTGACCTGACCCAGGCACAGGGAAGAGGGAGCAGTTGGGTTGTGATGCTGTGTGAGCAGTGGCTCTTGGGGTGTTCCCCAGGGTGCTGTGGAGGCTCCTTCAGGCTGAGAGGGTGGGCACTGGGGCAGAGAAGAGCTAGAGAGCTAGGAGCAACGTGAACATTGTTCAGCGTGGGTCTCTTGTCAGTGCCTGAACCTTTTCTCTTGTAATTCTTCAGGTAAGCCATGAGCTGATACTCAATAAACCATGACTTAGCTGTCTAGCACTGGCTACAACACAGCTGGAATAAAGTTCTGCTTGTGTGTTACATCCTCGTCCTTGGTGGTCCTGTGTAGACCCAGTTACTGGAACCTTTCTCTTTGGAGAATTACACAGGGTACATTATTTTCTTAGCAGCCAGCAAGACTTTGGAAGTTGCCAGTAGCCACATGCTCACTGGAATCAAAGGCATAACAACCAGATGGGGTGAAGCTTCTGGTGCTTGGTGTCCCAGCAGCAGGTGAGGTGTGCTGGGGGTGAGCTGGTGGCACTGCCCCAGGTCACAGGCCAAGCCATGCTGTGGAGGAATCATGTTCCAGTGGCTGGGGTTTGTGCTTGGGGATGGAGCTGTGTCAAAGCTCCCCCTGCCCCTGGATGGATGCTGGTGAGTCCTGGGACATGCAGGCTGACCTGGCTTACATGTATCTGAGCTGTGCCAGGGTCACCTAGCCCTGCTCAGGGGGCCACCCTGGGGCTACCTGCTTGTGGTGGCTCTGGGTGCGTGCTGGTTCTCACACTGGCCCATGAGTAACATCTCTTCTGGGTTTGTCTGGCAGGAGATCAAGACTCTTGAGAGACAGCAGGGCTGTATGCCTTGGAGGGCTCTGCTTGCTCTTTGGAGGAGCAGTTGGCACCCTGGGTCCTGGCCAAGAACTAATACCAATGCCTCAGTGACAGCTCCGTGCTTTGAGAAGCGCTGGTGGGACCTGCTGGATCTTCAAAGTTTGAACTGGCACCCACCCCACCCAGGGCTGTCACAGCCAGTGACCAGGAGCACGGTGGCCATGCATGTAATACAAAAAGCTCTCCAGTTACAGAAGTGGCCTTGGAACCTAAAAATGCTGATGTTGTCCACTCCTGTGCTCAGCACCACCACAGTTTTCTGAGCTAGCCTGCAAAGCAGGGAGAGAAACGTGCTGGGGAAGGGTAGCGGTGAAGAGCATCCACCCAAGGTCCATGGGACATACCTGGGTGCAAAAGTTGGTCTGTTTCACAGAGAGACCTACAACATTGAGGCATTTTTTCCCTATTTTGCCTGTAGAATGTACATCTAAGCTGCTTTTGCCATTCCTCTTGCTGTGCTCGCAGCCCTCCAAGCTTCCATGGGAAGAGGGGCTGTCGCCAGACGGGTGCTGCCGATCTGCCCCGGGGGGGAGAGCTCAGCCCGGCTTCAGCAGCTGGCCCTGCCCCCTCCAGACCTGTCCTTGCTGCCGAGGAGACCCTCGGAGGTGTCCGGGCCCTCGCCCTGGGCTGCTCCCCGCCGGCCCACGCTCCCGGAGTTGCTGCCCCGACCCCGGTGGGGGCTCCGGG